ACGGCCTGTTTTGTGCGACCTGTGCGCGCTGGATGTACCTGTCTGTGGTTGCTTTCCCGTGACAAGAGCAGAACGAAAGAGCTGTGACAGGAGACTGTGTGTGGCTTTTTGGTCTGCACAGTCTAAACTATCTACTCTCTGGCCTTGTACAGAAAAAGGTCTGTCAAGCCCTATTTTACATAAATTACTTGGGAAATTTTTCACCGAACAAGGACAAGGTAAGATGGTCCCAGATTAAGCACATTTGGGCTGAGGTTTGCTGGTACCACTGGCAGGTCAGAAGAATACACATGTGGGCTGGCAACTCTGAGTATTAAAATAGTCTGGCATAGTTAAGCAAAGTCTGGCTATGATAAAGTACCTTCCTCTTTCTGTGAATTGGCCATTGTGTATCAAGGAACTCCCGAACCCGAATTCAACAACGTCCTCATTGTTCAACCGAAAACCATCTGTGTGGCTCCCAAGCGCAGTGTCTAGCCATGGAAATCAATAACCTTGTACCCTTAGCGAAGGCTGGAACGAGACGTGTACCTTTCCCACCCCTCTGTTTCGACATAGACTCTGCGAGTGCTGGACTCTGCACCTCTTAGAATCCTTGCCGGTGACAGGCATCATAATAATTAGTGCTACCAGTCCCCAGGCCCACCAGCATGTCCCTTCTGACGAAGCGGACCAAGTTGTCGAGGGGGCACATGGGCTTGGGCCAGCGCCGGCGGTGGTCCTGGCAGAAGGAGGTGTGGAACGTGACGTCGACGCCGTTGTAGAGAACCCGCACGGCGTGCTCCCGGGGCTCGTCCCTGTCCTGCCAGAGCTCGAAGATCAGCCTGGCCGCGAACCTCGGGAACCTGGCTTCCGCCAGGCCCAGGGCGCTGAGGACCGGGGACAGAGTGACGTCGTGAGCAGAATAGAGGGCGAAGACCTCTTCGCTCCTGCCCTCGGCGGCTCGCAGCATGCGGCCCGACGGTCTGGTTCAGGATGGGGTGGGCGCCCAGGAGCGCGTACCCCAGATACAGTTTCTTCTCCCGCCTCTCCCTCTCGTCCTCCATCTGATGGGTCTTGATCACCTTGAAGTGCTCCATGTCGATGCAGCCGTGTCCGGTGCAGGGGAAGCTGAGGTTGTGGCAGAAGTGGCAGAGCAGGGAGTCGATGGGGTTGGCGGCCCGCAGCTGCTTGGTGGGGATGTCCACCACCTTGGCCATCTCCCCGTAGGCCCTCTCCAGCTGGCCGTTCTTCAGGCGTAAGAGGTACTGCCGGCGCTGCTCCTTTTCCAGGTAGTGGTTTCTCACGGGGCAGTAGCAGCTTCCGGAGCAGAACAGAGCGCTGGGCTGGTGCCTGAAATAGACCTTCTTCCAGTCGAAGTCGGGGAGAAAGCCGTACAGCAGGGCCAGCCCGCTCTGCAGCGTCCGGCTTTTCCCCGTGGTCTCTAAGTAGAGCTGGTCGGGGGACCAGTCACTGGGCAGGAGTTGGTGTTTCTTTAGGTAGATGTCCCTCAGCAGCTGGCCATTCTGCAGATGCTGCACAACTCCTGGAACAGAGCGACACAAGCTTTCCTGACCAGCAGCTCAGCCAAGGGAACGGCAAGGGAAACTGAGTCAGTGCCCAGCTCCAGCCACCTTAGAGCAGTGGGAGATCATGTGATCGAGCCTGCTGCCCACTGTGTGGAGGCTGCGAGAACGGGTTCACGCCAGCCTGACCACTGGGGGGCACCTTGGAGTTATCCGCGAAGGGATGAGCCGAGTGAGCCCTGTCCTTGGGACCCACAGCCTTTCTGGGGAGCACCATGACCCTCTGCCTCAACCCTCCCTGTAGGCCAGCCCCTTCCCTGTGGGAGACCCTGTGACTGGCAGGCCTCAGGCGGAAGGAATCACCCGCTGGGGTGGGGGTGGGGGGGTGCCCAGGCTGTAGGTGTCACAGGTCTAAGGAGAGCTTTGTCCCTGGCCCCAGGGACTTGGCATTCCTCAGCCCGCAGGGAGAACTCCGGGAACTCAATCAGGAAGAGAAAAGGCCGCTTGCTGGCTGCTTAGTCCTCTCAGTGCTGGGAAGTCCCCTCTGCTAACGTTTAGGTACATTCTGTCTGGCCTGGCTGGGGCTTTCCCAGTCGTCCATAAGGACACTCTCTGAACGAATATGGGATGATTTCCCAGATACACAGAGAGAATGTGCGGAAAAAAGCAAAGTGCAGGACAGTATGTTTTTTTTGCTCCTTTTAAATAAAAATGGGGGGCCCTGGTTGGTGTGGCTCAGTTGGTTGGAGCATCATCCCATACACCAAAAGGTTGCGGGTTTGATCCCAGGTCGGGGCCCATTTGGAAGGTAACCAGTTGATGTTTTTCTCTCATATTGATGTCTCTCTTTCTCTCTAAAATCAGCAAATAAAATCAGCAAATAAAAATGGGGGAAAATAAGAATGTATATTTGCAGTTGTCTGTGCTCTGCAAAAGAAACTTGGGAAGGATGCACAAGAAACTGATCTCAGTGGTTACCTGGGAATGATGGGGGCACAGAAAGGGTGTGGATGGAACATGGGCAGGAGCAAAAATCTCAAGTTTATCTTTAAGATGTTTCAGCGTTGAACCACAGTACAGCAATAAATGGTCTTTTTTTAAAAAGGCCTTCTCTTCGAGCAAGAGAAGGCAATCCAAGATAAAAGCAAGCTCGCCTGCCAGCCAATGGGATGCAATTTCAGTAACAAATATGCATTCTCTGAGAGTGGGAACCATATGCGGGCCCCAGGACCAGCCGTATCACTTATTCAGATGCCCGAACAGTTTGAACAGCTCCACCGCCAAGATGAGACAGCTTAAGGCTGAAGTGCCTGAGGCAGAGGGCACTGTTGGCCCAGGAAGGGGAATAGCTCAGAAAACGCCCCCAACAAAGGAAGTCCTGCTCTGAATGAAGAATATGGATTGAGAGCAGAATTCCTCAGAGATCGGGGCTGGGTGGAGCCTTAGCATTTCCCAAATGACTTGCAAAATGAGGCAAACCATGAGTGACGAACATCAAGAATCTGTATCTAGTTCACCTCTGGGCCTACCTCACATTCTTAGCTGCATATATTAAAGGTGGAGTGCTTACTGCGGGCCAGACCTTTCTCCTTTAATCCTCACAAAAAGCCAGTAAAGGCTGATCATTCTCCCCATTTTCCTTATTTTCTAGGTGAGGAAACGGAGGCCCTTCACAGTGGAGAAGTAGCAGAACTGAGTCCCCATCTGGCCCCAACCTTGTGCCCTTAGTCCCTTGTCACAGTCCCTACATTTTCATGCAGAAATACTAAGTTCTAGCCATTTAGGACTTCTTATACTCTCCAAACCAGCCTGCTATTCCTGCCCTTCTCCCTCCTCTGCCCAGAGAAACCCCCTCCTGCGCCTGGCACCACTCCTGCCTTCCCTGTGGTCTCCCTTCTCCCTCCCCCGGGTCACGCGAACAACTTCCCCTTCCCACAGGCCGCTGGACTTCTGGGCCGTTAGCAGCATTCACCGAGCCTCGCACTGTGCCTGTATGAGGCACTTTCCACATGCTATCGAATCTCACTCACCACCAGCCCTGTCCGGAAGATATTAGCCCCATTTTACGGGGCTGTCTATCCTCCAAAGCCTGTGCTTATCCTATACAACCCTGCGGACTGCAGCAGTAGCTGGTGTCCGTGTGTGTGCCGTTACACTGCAGCTGAGGGATCCGCTAGGACAGGCAGGGGAGCAGCTTACTCACCCAGGCCCCTCCCCTCCCCTCCCCCACACCCAACAGCTGCCACAGCACCTTGAACAGAGCAGGCACCAGTGATCAGTCTGTTCCTACGCAGTCTCTGTGGGTGCCAAAGTGTGCCAGTGACAAATGACTGCTCTAACAGCGAGGCTTTCTTAAAATAAAATTTAAAATAGAAGATGAAATTGGCCATTAAGAGAGAATAAGGGACCAGGAGCAAACAATACTGCAAAAATAATTTCTAGAGTAACACTAATTTAGGATATGATAACGATGATAAGAAATCAATGAGAAGAAAGGTCAGAATGAATGTCAGTACGTGTGTGAACCCCTCAGCCCTGCCCCCGCCCCCCCACTCTTCTCGGGGGACGGCCCCTGGACCCAAAGGCTGGGTCCCACTCTCAATGCACAGTCACCCTGACCTCGTAGCCAGGTGATGGCGCTGACCCTCAAGGACCCCTTCGGACTCTCTCTCTCAAGAATGTGGACTTGCCAGCCCATCTGTGGGTGTGGCTAGGACTGTCACTCTGTTGACAGACACCCAGCAAAACCACGGAGGCAGCGACAGGCAGACTTTTTATTCCTGGCTCCAGTCTCCGGAGGCCTGCTCATATTCTCGCCCTCACAGTCGGCGAGTCACTGTGAATCCTTATAATAATGTCCCTTTTGTGCTTGAGTTGGTTTCTGTTACTTGCAACCAGAGTCTAAGCCAGTGATGGCGAACCTATGACACGCGTGTCAGAGGTGACACGCAAACTCATTTTTTTGGTTGATTTTTCTTTGTTAAATGGCATTTAAATATATAAAATAAATATCAAAAATATAAGTCTTTGTTTTACTATGGTTGCAAATATCAAAAAATATCTATATGTGACACGGCATCAGAGTTAAGTTAGGGTTTTTCAAAATGCTGACACGCTGAGCTCAAAAGGTTCGCCATCACTGGTCTAAGCAGAGGTTCTCAGCAAGCCGGGGTCTGCCCTCAGGGAGGGTTTGGAGGCTGAGCTGTCACAATAATATGGGAAATAATGTTCCTGACACCCAGTGGGTGGTGGCCAGGGGGCTGGACAGTCTTCACAAGGAACTGTTCTCGGTCCCATAAGACATTCCCACACATGAAAAATCTGTTTATATAGCCTAGAACCCACTTTAAAAATATTTTTATTGATTTTGGAGAGGAAGGGAGAGGGAGAGAGAGATAGAAATATCAATGATGAGAATCATTGATCAGCTGCCTCCTGCCCGCCCCCTCCTGGGCATGTGCCCTTGACTGGAATCGAACCTGGGACCCTTCACTGAGCCAAACCAGCTAGGATGAACTCACTTTTTTTGAATCTATAAACACAAAGTCATTTTTGCGTAACATTAACATCCAGTGAATTTCCGAGAAACATGATATTAGTTGAGGGACACTTGTATTTTGTTTTCATCAGAACTTGTTAAAAAAAACATGTTCCGCCGTAACCGGTTTGGCTCAGTGGATAGAGCGTCGGCCTTCGGACTAAAGGGTCCCAGGTTTGATTCCGGTCAAGGGCATGTACTTCGTTGCGGGCACATCCCCAGTAGGGGGTGTGCAGGAGGCAGCTGATCGATGTTTCTCTCTCATCGATGTTTCTAACTCTCTATCCCTCTTCCTTCCTCTCTGTAAAAAATCAATAAAATATATTTTAAAAAATGTTCCAACACTTGGTATTAAAGTCACCAATACACCTCTCAGTCAGTCTGCATTGGTAGCTGTCAGTCAGCAATCTATACTTACGTGTAAGCGACTGATTCCATCATTCCCGTTTCTAGTGTAGGTGTGCCCAAGCATTTACACTGAGGCACACAGAATTCTATAATAAATTAGTTTCCCTTTCCCCTCCTTTCTATTATAGTTAGGGTATCTGATATATTGTAAGACTATGTATGTAGAAAGATTATATTGTATTCGAATTTCACTTGAGGATAGTTAAGGGAGCGCTTTTACTTGCTAATAAAAGGGGCGCTGGATCTGGTAGGATGACTCCTGTGTTAATCCAATGCAGAATCTGTATGCGTGGAACTAATTATCAAAAGCTTTTGGAAAAACTCCTTCTCCCAGGCTGGCCCTCCAGAGCCTTCAGCTTGCCCCACTCTGCCCGTCACCACCATTCTCCCCGCGACAGGACGGAGACCTTCCTCCCATCACAGCCGAGGTCCTACGATGCTGGGGAACAGGAAGACAGAGCATGGCCAATAGGTCCTCCCGTTTCTTCCCAAAGAGCTGGCACCAAGCAGACGTCCTCTGAGGTCCCAGACTGAAGTACGAAACCGGAAGCTCCTGGGGACCCCACCAGTTCTTTCTCTTCCCAACAAAGGGGATCCCACAAATAACTCACCATGACTCTGACAGCGAGCTGGCTGCACAACAGTACAAATAGGGCTGCAAGGGAAAGGTGGTCTGACCAAACAAACTCCTCGCTCAGCGGGGATCTGCCCTGTTTCTCGCTGAGACCTGGCACACTGAAACTTACCAGGTGTTTTGCTTGAAGTATCTAAGAACATGGGATTAATTGTATAAATTATGGCCCAGCCATAGTGGGATAATATGTAGCAATCAGAAATGGTGTTGTTGATGAATAGGGAAAGATGATCACAATATACTCAGTGAAAAAGTGGGTAACGGAATAGTGTGTTTAGTAAGATACCACTGTGAGTATGTGTGTGTGTGTGTGTGCACACGCACGCACACATGAATGAACACAGAAAGGAAGATAACTAATATCTTTGGTGGGATTACAGGTGCTATTTTTCTTCCTTTTGCTTACTTGTCATTCCTAATTTCTCTTCCATGAACATACACTGCCTTTGTAATAACAATAAAGTTGGTTGTTGTTGTTGTTTTAGAAATCAGATGTTAACTAGAATGCTGGTGGACTCAGAGAATGCTGAGTGCCAGTCCTTATCTGCCCTATGAGCCCGCAGCGCCTGGCCCCGGAGTATTCGCTATTCGCCCCCAGTGTGTGCGAACGGTTGTCACACGTACCTGTCTGTGTGAGCTCTCCCATCTCACAGAGCGGGTGATTGGGGAAAAGAGGCAGGGAATGTAGGGGGCTTTCGAAAGAGGCTCCGGATCCTTTTGACATGTGACTAATGAAAGCTTCCAGCTTCGGGTGATACGGTTTCCTAAAGAGACAACACAGATCTCGAGGTCAGCGTGCTCCACAGCGTCCGCAATGGTCTCAGCTTCAGCAAACGAAACCCCAAGTGTGTGCCCTTCCGCCCCCACAGCAGACGATCGCTCAATCAAGTTTAAATTCCAATTTCTTGATCACTCAACCACCGATGGCTATGCATAACCCCACTCTGCAAGGCCAGCCGGCGCCTCTCCTCTGCTGAAGTGCCCATCCCCCTGGGAGTCAGCTCTGCCCTCCACTGTTGGTTCCCAGCCTGCGCCCCCCCGGAGGCTCCCTCTCCAGATGCCATGGCCTAGGCTGGGAGTCCTCCATCTGGTCCCTTCCCTACCCCTACACAGGCCACCTGCCCCCCGCCCCCCCTCATCCTGCACACATGTCCTCCAGGGGCTGCCCACCTCTCTCCTGCATCCCTGCAGCCACCAGCTGGGTTCTGGCTCAGGCAGCTTCTGTCTGGATGGCACGGGTTCCTCTTTGGACTACCTGCAGCCTAATTCTGCCCCTCTCATCTGCCTTCTCCACTGCCAGCGAGATCCCTTAAAAGACAACCCTGACTCGTCACTGCTCTTCCACATGCTGCCTTCTGGAAGGGGCCACTCATGCCTATTGGTCTGTTCTGGCACCACCTCGAGTTGAGGCTCAGGGCTCCCCAGCCCTTTCCACTCTAATGCTGAGCTCCGGACACACACAGCCACCAACTGACTTCCATTCCCCCAACACACTTGTTCTTTCACGCTTCCAAGACTTGCCACATGCTGCCTCTTCCTCCTAAAAACCCACTCTGTCCGGCCGGTGTGGCTCAGTGGTTGAGCGTCAACTCATCAACCAAGAGGTCACTGGTTCTATTCTGGGTCAGGGCACATGCCCGGGTTGTGGGCTCGATCCCCACTAGGGGGCGTGCAGGAGGCAGCCAACTGATAATTGTCATCAATGTTTCTATTTCTCTATCCCTCTCCTTTCTCTCTCTTTCAAATCAATAAAAACATATATTTTTTTAAAAAAACAACCCACCCGACCCCAACCTTCACCTGGGTAACTCTTAATCCTTAACTTATCTGACCTCCGGAAAGGCTCTTGAAGAAAATTAACTGATTAAGATAACCAAGATCTCTATAGTTCTCTAAATTCACTATGTCTTTTGTACATACAATATGTCATTTCATGTGGGGGGGGGGGTGTCACAAATAGCAAAACAACAACAACACAGGTGTGTTTATGAGACCTGACTTTTTAAAAATATTTCTGCCATGGAGTACATGTGGCAAATCAAGATTTAATTTATCTTTCTAGTCACTAATACACCATTTCCCTGAATAATGAAATGACCTATGAATATAGACACAATTCCTCTGAATAATGAGATGACTTATGAATATTTACACCTTTTCTTTGAATAGTAAAATGGCCTATGAATGTGTATACATTTTCCAGCTGAACAGAAGCGGATAGACTAGTCCCAGCTAAACCAAATCAGCATGAAAAGCAGCAAAGAGAAATTGCTCTAATGGCCGACCCCTGCTGTTGAGAGCCCAACTGACATGGACAATGCTTGAAAAAGGGCTGCCAGAATAGGTTTAATATCTTTCAGAAACATAAAGCTAAAAAAAAAAATCCATCTTTTATAAAATAGACTTTGGAACTAGAGAATGCTAATCCTGTCGTAAAGGACGGTCTGGTAATTTACCCAGGACTGTGCCGGGCGGGCTGTCTCTGCATGCAGACAGAGCGTGCGCTTTTCATCCTGAGGCTAAAACGTGTAAATATTTGCAAACTTGGAAATAAAATTTCCAACTGATAATGAGGCTGCCGAGAGGAATGCACATAAACAAAGGCCACGCATCACCAGGAGCCAAACGCTCTGCTGCGGGCCACTCTTTCAGGTTGGCGATGTCTGCGGATCTGGGAGAGCGTGGCTGCCAATTTTAGAAACAGAATTTCACGACTGGAAGTGTTTGCTGAGATGTCCCGGGTTCTCAGGGAATCCGACTGCTTAATGAGGTGTTTGTTTCTCACTGCATTCGTGAAAACGTGCTTGTGGGAGGGCGAGATGAGGATTCATAGAAGAAAAACTTCCCTTATGGAAGAGAAGACAAATGGCCGATGTGCTCTTCCAAGGCCCCCTGAGGGCAATCGCCTTCTTTAAATCCTTAGAAGCCCATTCTCCCCTTCACTCCTCCTGCTCAGCCACGTACTAGTTTTATTGTTACTCAGACATGCCCAGCTCTCCCAGCCTCAGGCCCTTTGCACACGCTGTTCCCCCAGATCCTCACAGGGCCGGCTCCTTCACTTCCTTTAGGTGCCTGCTCACATGCCACTTCCTGGTACATGAGCCAGGTACATGTGACAGCACCTGGCACACGACATGCATTTAAGAATAAAATTCATTGAATTAAAATATTGATTTATTTTTTTCTTCTTTGGATGTAGAAAAGAGTATCGAATTCATATTCATGAATGCAAAAGAAACCACTTACTAAACATAGCATGTTAATGGCTAATAACCTTATTGCTGGCTAAACATAGTCCCAGGAGGGTAGAGAGAGCACCTCTGTCATGAGGCACAGGGCATTCACGCAGACACAGCTTCTGCTACAAACACTTCGGGAGCCACGCCATGTGTCACTGTGAAGGGGAACACTGGGGTGACCGTCTTGAATGGACATCCGGCTCCCCGCTGTGCACAGCCCAGCCATCCCCTTTTACTGGACTAGAGTAACGGCCACACTCCAGGACTCACTGCCTTTTAGGAGGCCATAAAAATGAATAATTCCTGAAGCTGCACTAGCACCTGGGGAGGCAGCAGGCACTGCTGGTGACCCCGATCCCACAGTCCCAGGGGATTCAGAGGCCTGAAGTAGATTCAAATGGCTAGGAGTCCTGTCCACTCTTGTGAATGGACAATTATTGTTTTTATTTAAAGATGGACTTAATTACATGACATGCATGAATTAAACATGCATGCCCCACCCACTTTCTGCAAAGTACTTAAAAGTAGATCCTAAAAATACAGAATGTTTGATCAAACTAGGCCACAAGATCAAGGCCAGGGACAATGAAGGCAGAGGCAGCCAGGGCAGCTGGTCCCCAGAAACGATGCCTCTCAAATGGGAGCCCCAGAAACGATGCCTCTCAAATGGGAGCCCCAGAAACGGCCCCATCTGTGCACCCTGTCATCGCCTTGACAGAACGAGGGGCCCTGGGACCTGTCCTGGCTTCATGACCACAGCCACTCAGGGAGGAAGAGAGGTTGGCCCTAGGAGACCTGCAGGCTTCTGTGCTAAATGACACGTCACCCCCTTATCAAGCTCTTAGCATGGACCAGGCTCAGGGCCTCACTCTCCCACCTTAGTGGGAAGGGAGGCATCACTACCCCCGCGTTCCAGGTCTGCACACCGAGGCTCAGAGAGGGAAGAGATCTTCCCCACACACACAGGCTAATCGGCCTCACAGGGGTCTGTGCTGAGACTTCAATCTGATAGGTGCATATGACAGGCAATTATGACTTGTGATTCTCACTTAGATCCTGAATTCATTCTGCGACCAAACCCGTCCAACAACTATTACATGCCAGGCTCGAGCTGGGCATGGATGATACAGGAAGGAGAAGCTGGTGATGTGGGGAGGGCAGAGGCAATCACGCTGGGAAGGCAAGCTGTGAAGTCCCAGGGTGCACGGGGGGAGGCCCTGCCTGCTGCCCGGTGGCCCTGCCCAATGGGCCCCTTTTCTGGGAACGACCAGAATGGCCCCCAGAGCTTCAAGTGCCCAGGGACCTTCTAGCAACAGTGACTGACCCCTAGTCTGAGCCGAGCCTCTCAAATTCTCACTTCTGAGAAGGTGAAGCGCAGATAGAGAAAGAAGAACAGAAGCTGCAAGTAGCCACGGATAAAGCAGGGCACTGTCCCTGAGTCCTGGAGGCTGTCTTGGGTCCGGCCAGCTCAGCAGCCCAGTAGCCTATCTGTGCCCGGGCTGTTCAAAGGGTGGATACCCAGCCAGCAGGCAAAGGTAGGACTGTGCCAGCTGTTAACACAAAGAAACTCTGCTGTGCCCGATCTAGCAACCCCACGTCCCTAAGCTGCCTTCCCTGCACCCCACCCTGTGCCCTCCTGCCACTCTGGATGCTCTAGCCCATCCCCATGATCCAGGAACTGAAGAGTTAATACCCAGCACAGCAAGCGACCTCCACCCTTGCCCTAGTCCTCAGGCCCGGCAAGGTCTGATGATGAAATACTTTGTTCAGAGACCAGTCCCATGTGTCTTCCTGTTCAGTTTGCAGGAGGCACTGGCTGTGCCTCATACAAGCCGAGGACCCATTCTCAGGGAGAGGTTTCCTGGAGGAGCCAGCATCTCCGGGGGCCTTGTAGGAGCTGTGGGAGTGGGCCAAGCAGGCGTGGGGGACAAGCAAGCCAGGTGGCAGGTGCAAAGGTGGGAATGGCAGGGGCAGAAGGTCCCAATGGGAAGGCTGACACAGAAGGCTAGAGACGGGAGGAAGAAAGCCAGTGTCTGCGTGGCACCCTGACACGGGCCCTGGGACATGCCTCCATGCTCGCTGAACACAGAAAACACTAACACCCAGATTGCGAGCATCATGACCTCCAGCAGGAAATGAAACAACACAGGAAAGCTTGCAGTCGCTCAGTATTTCATGTTTTTACCAAAGATGGTTCGCTTCACCTTCTCCATAATGCTGGGTAATGAGACGGCCTGAGCTTCGAATAGTTAACCTGAACCTCCCGTGGGTTCACACTGTGGTCCACTTGGATAGAACAGCCCCGGCTGCGGGGAGGCAATCCGTGGTTCCACCCGGCTGCCGGGGCAGGCTGGCAACCAGGAGCATTCCATCAAAATAACATCTTCCCCACTGAGCACTCCCTCCGTCCCCTCTCCTCATTCAGCACATTCTGTGCAGGGTGTTACGCGTCCCCAGACACGTTTGCTGAGGCCTGGACCATCACTTTTATTGCTAACTGTGCCTCCAGTTTTAGAGCCATGCCATTTCCATATGCACCGTTTCCACTCTTTTCAATTATTCTTCATCCTAAGGGCTCTCAACCAAGAGCAGGCTGTCTCTACCCCTGTGGATATTTGAAGTAACAGCATCCATTTATATGGCTTTGCAAGTAAATGACAGTGTTCCTTCTCCTCTATCATCTCACTTACTCCTCACCCCAACTCTGCATGGTCAGCGTCGCCATCCCACTTCAGAGACAGAAGACTGAGGCTCACAGAGACGAAGGGGCGTACCTGTTGCCCTGAATGGAAGAGCTGAGCCAGGTCTGAGGCCTCCTAACCCAGTGTTCACTGCGCCACGTCCAGCCACTTCTCAAACTGAGGAACAGCAGGGTGGGAGAGTGGGCCTCAGACTGGCCAGGGCTTTATCTGCTGTGTGGCCTCACACAGGTGTCCTCGCCTCTCTAGGCCTCTGTTTTCTCAACTGTGAAATGGCAGTAACATGCAGGATTGTCCTGAAGATCAGGCTCCCGGTGAACAGTACTCCCTCCATGACAGGTCACTCCCCATCCTGTCGTTCCCCAGTCAGCATCATGATTAGGACAGAGAGAACAGATTCTTGAAAGGAACTTTTTTTTTTTAAGTGCAATTTACCTGTTAGCCACTAGAGTGCAGTCAATTTCTGGTCGCTTTGTTTTGGGAATGACATACAGTGGATATCTGTCCCCATGTCGAATGAACACATGCACCGAGACCAGCTTAAAATGATGCGGAGCATGACCTGCGAGAGACAGACAGACATAAAGAAAGAGACAGACACACTGTATTGTTATCACTCAGGAAGTGTCAATTCTTTTCACTGCACTGAAGTGAGGAGGGGTAACTGGGAGCAGGGTGCGGTGCTGGGGTCCGGGTGGGGGGAATAGACTCACTGGCAGGACAGAGGGACATGAGTGGGCTGCTTATGCCCCAGGCCCCCAGCGGTCACGGGGAGGCTATGGTGGCCAGCTGGAGGCCAGGGAAATGTGGGCAGGAATATTCCTGTGTCCTCGCTCACATCCACAGACTACGGGAGGCCCGGAAACAGTCAACAGTGAACACATGTCTTCTTCAAATCTCTCATCAAACAAGGCAGGGCACAAACAGATTCAACATCATTCTTTTGTACACTCTCAAAAAAAAGCAAAATTCAACGTGGAAATCATATTTTCCCAGACCTTTCCTGCAAGACACCAGCAGGACGTCCTAAGCCCCAGAGAGCCTACTCAGGAAAGCTGGGGGTGATGCGCTAGAAGTGAGGAAGCTAAGACCTGGGAACTCACTCAAGGGCACAGCCTAGTGGCAGCTGCAGGCATTGCGCCCAGGCCGGGGCGCTCCTCACCACCATGCTGTGCTATTTGAAGAACCAGTCCCCAGAAGGGTGTCCGTCCAGGTACCAGGTTGGGCAGCGCAGGCAGGCCTACCTTCCATGCTGCGCTCGGCCACACTGGGGATGTTGCAATACAAGAGAGCTTCGTAAAGCGGGTCCATCCCGGGGGGCTCCGTCACAGGGTCGGGCATGATTCTCTTCCGACTCTTGCTACTCACTCCATTCTTAGCTACGGACACCGGGATCAGGTGGACTGCAAGGGAAGGCAAGCAGGTCACGACACATGCGGTCACCGGGGGGCACTGAGCGTGGCTGCGTTTTCACCTTGAATAACTATTCTCTCCCGCGGCACAGACTTCAGTGTGGCAAGAAGTCAGCGTTCCCTCCAAGAACTGTTTCTTGAGCCCTCACTGTGCCCTGCCTCTTTCTCGATGCCATGACCCTCTGCTCACTAATAATTATGCGACAGCAGTGGGGCCTCACTCACGGTGGGGAAGGAAGAACTTCATTCAAACGGATGACTTCCTTCCCAACACCCTCTGAATTCTGTAAATACAAAGGAAGGAAACCGCCAGCTTTTGAGTATCTACGAAGGGCCAGGCATGGGTGTCTGACGCATCTCATTTAATACCATCTGCGGTGCACTGTGTGGCCCCCAGAGCCCACAGCACTACGAACGTGTCCGGAAGGAGATGGCTCATCTCATGACGATTTGCTTCTTTTCATTTTTGTTTATTGTATTGATGGTCCCCACGGAATAGAGAAAAGGAGAGAAAGGCAGGGCCAGGACCTAGCCCACAAGCCCCGCTCTGGCCTTGGGCCGCAGGCCACCTCAGTTACTTCCCCAAACTCAGTGAGCCACAGGGTCCGCAGGTAATGTTACAGCCAGGTGTCGGCAGCCAGCTCGTTAGCTGGGAGTCACAGACTTGTCCAAAGACAGGCCAGCGCCTCTCCTCCAGGGCACCAAGCCAATGCCCATGGTCTGTGGCTCATCTCCCCATGTCGGGGTCTGGCCAGGACAGAGGATGAAAATCTAGCTGCATACCTGGCCTTCTTCATGCAGCTCTAGCCTGAAGAACCTGCTGTATGCAAGCCCGTTACAAGTGCCTCAAAACTGATTTTTCCCCCTTTAAATATGTTTTTATTGATTTCAGAGAGAAAGGAAGAGAGAAAGAGAGAAACACTGATATGAGAGAGAAACATCGATGGCTGCCTCCTGCATGCTCCCTACTGGGGATTGAGCCTGCAACCCGGGCATGTGCCCTGACAGGGAATTGAACTGGCGACCTTTTGGTGCATGGGACGACACCCAGCCAACTGAGCCTCACCAGTCAGGGCTCAAAACTGACTTCGCTAAAGCACTGTGGGGGCCCCCACCCCTGGGTCAGACCACCACCCCTCCTTTCCTTTGGGGGAGTGGCTCCTCCCCCAGGCCAGCTGCCTGGTGTGGTGGGGGTGTCATGCTGCTCCTTCAGGACCCTGTGCTTGCCATGCCGACTGCTCCAGGGATGGGGGCCTGACACGAGCCGACTGTGCCAATACAGGCCCTTTCCAGGAAGACAGGCTTCCCACGGGGAGAGTCCGTTTCACAGGGAGTTAGGCAGCCTCCAGACCCCGGCCTCCCGCCCTCCGTGCCTTAAGCTGTTGTTTCGTCGGTCAGCTCTTGTCTGATCACACAGACACCTGGCAGATTAAAGGTAGCTGTTGGGGATCCAGAGGTGTCCAGTGAAGGTAAGCACGATGGGGCCAGAGCAGTGATGGCGAACCTATGACACGCGTGTCAGAGGTGACACGCGAACTCATTTTTTTGGTTGATTTTTCTTTATTAAATGGCATTTAAATATATAAAATAAATATTAAAAATATAAGTCTTTGTTTTCCTATGGTTGCAAACATCAAAAAATTTCTATATGTGACACGGCACCAGAGTTAAGTTAGGGTTTTTCAAAATGCTCACACGCCGAGCTCAAAAGGTTTGCCATCACTAGGCGAGAGTGTGGGCTCAACTCTGTCTCGACTGCTCTGGGCTCAGGTGTCCCACAAGTCACACCACGGACTGCACCAGAAAAGAGCGTGGGACCCAGGTGTGGCCCCACCATCGGCTTTTTACTACCGTCCTGGCTCCCGGGCCTGCCTTACCCTCAGGCTGAGCTGGCTGCCTCCTTGGGGGTCTGTAGTCACCTCTCCCGTGGGACTCCTCTTTTCCAGTGTCATCATAGCCTGTCCTCAGTCCCCTGCCCCACAGCTGTCCGTGGTTCTGAATGCAGGCAGGCACTGTGGGGCTGGGGGCTCACAGTGGCGAGGACCTGGGGTCAGGTGCTGGCTCTGCTCGTGCCTCGCTGCGCGTGACGGGCAAGCATTCCTGCTTGCTATGTGTCATTTCCTTCATCTGTACAATGGCCCCTAGTGCTGCCACCTGATTTCCCTGACTTCTTCCTCCCGGTAATCTACAGCTCTTCAATTCCCTCTCCTTCGCCCGCCTGCCAAGGAATAATGATTTGTTCTCACAGGCAATTCCCACAATTCCCTCAGTGCTCTTCAATCCACTAAGTTGCCTTAAATGCCCAATCTGTCTCTACCGTGCCCTGAATATAAAAATGACTGCGTGTAATTCTCAAGTACCAACCAGAACCACAACACCGGCGCCCACAGCTTTGTTATCTGCCTTCGGTTATTTGTTTTGAAAGGCCTGGGTGGCAATCGGGTTTACAGGTAAAATGTGAAAATCAAATCCCCATCTGTACATGCTGAGACACTTGGTTTTACACAGACGGGATGGAGCGGGGGAATCCACGGTTCCCACTGTGACCCACCCACTTTGGGCCACGACAGAAGACCAGCCTTTTCTTGTTACCCTCATTCCTCATCATTCCCTGTTCCTCACTCGTGTTGCCTCCTGGGGAGCCACTGTCAGAAGCTAGTCAGTGCTTTGGGTGCCAGTGATGAGAGCCAGGAAATCACAACAGGGGTGACTCCCGGGGTTGGGGGCTCAGCTCCTGCCCTAGGTGGTCCCCAAGCTCTTATCTCCTCTCTGCCCGACCCCCCCTCAGACATCTGCTACTGAGACCCACGTCCACAGGACCGCCAGAGTGCGGGGCAGAGCCCACCGCGGCCTGCGCCTGAGCCATGTGCAGCCTCTCGGGGGGCCACTGTCAACTGGCCTCAACCTAACGGGGTCCTTTGGGTTACATGATGGTCTCCAAATCAAACCAGACATCACAGAGATTCCAGGACAGGACCTCCCGCTCCCCAAATAACTGTGGAAAGAATGTCAGCCTCCTTAACCATCTCAGGGCCTAGATCCCCTCTGCCTCACCTTTGAGAGTCTCATAAAAGCTACTGATCCTCACCCGTGAAAAAGGACCATATATGCAAACTTTTGATTTTGATTTCTGGGGGTTCATGGGACCCTCAAACCACACGGGACAATATGGACATCTGTGGACTCAGGCTAAGGACCAAGCTCTCTGTGTGCACACCTGACTTTACCCTCTTATTCTGGATGCAGATTCTGCCCTCGTGGATTAAAAAAACTGTGGTATATATGTACCATATACATATATGGAATATTACTCAGCCATAAAAATATTAAATCTTACCATTTGTGACAGCGTGGATGGACCTAGAGGGCATTATGCTAAGTGAAATAAGTCAGCCAGAGAAAGACAAACACTGATTTCACTCATATGTGGAATCTAAAGAACAGAATAAACTGATGAAGAAAATAGAAGCAGATTCATAGATACAGAGAACTGGTGGTTGCCAGAGGGGAGGGGGGTTGGGGCACTGGGTGAAAGAGGTGAAGGGACTAAGAAGCACAAATGGGTCGTTACAAAACAGTCACGGGGAAGTAAGCAACGCAGGAAATACAGTTAATAAGCTATTACAATAACTATTACAATAGCTATTACAATAACTATGTACGGTGCCAGTTGGGGTACTGGAAATATCAAAAGAAACGCTACGTAAAGTATATGATTACCTAACCACTAAGCTGTACACCAGAAACCAATAGAAAATGAAATGTAAAAAAATAAAAGAGTCTGCCCTCAAGCCCTCATTCCTGATCAGCTTCACACACTGCCCCGTCCAAACCCTTCCCCCAAGGGGGGATAAAGGGGGGGAAAGGGGGGACTGCTGTCAAGACCACAGGGGTTCACTCTGATGACCGCTTGCTGCACTCGACACGGACTTTCTCTCTCTCTCTCTCTGTTAAAAATGCCATCAGCTTGGAACAGGAGCTCTATGGCCAAGACAGCAGGGAGTGGGGTCCCGAGCTGGTCAGCGTGCGCAGTGACGCAGCTCCACCTGGGCGGCTCCCCGTGTGCCTGGCTCGCCCCCTCGGGGGTTACCGCCATGTAAACACGTCTGGAGCGTTCTCTCCTAAGCTGGCTCTCTTCATACGGCCTGGCGATCCGCAAACACTCCCCTTTCACTGACACTCTCTAGTGGTATTAGTTTATCTCCTCTAGATGGGAGATTCCTTCTTCTCAATGCTGCTGCCCACACGTGCACACACAACACACACGGGTATTCCCATGTAAAAGTTAATATTTTATGACAAGCTTCCAAGTCGATGGAGACAGGTCTATGTAATCGCAGAGTAAAGGATGCAGGAGTGTTTACTATTGGACACTGGTTGCCTTCCCCCTTCTTCCTGTTATAAGCAAGGCCGCAATGAACACCTGTTCTTAGCAGAAATTCTCTAAGATCAGAAACAAGAAAGAAAGAAACGAAAGAAAAGGAAAGAAAGAAAGAAAGAAAGAAAGAAAGAAAGAAAGAAAGAAAGAAAGAAAGAAAGAAAGAAAGAAAGAAAGGGTGAGAATTGGAGGAAGGAGGGAGGGAGGGAGGGAGGGAGGCCACCTAGGAAGAAAACGAGCAATGACCCACAAACATGTGTCCGAAGGCCCTGCTACATGATGTTCCCGCCCCCTCCAGTGTAAGTACATGAGCTTGAAATGTTGTGATGAAAGTTGACTCGTCAGAATTAATTTTGTCGCTAATCTACAGAATTTTCTTCACCCACAGACACTTAACTCTACGTGGTAGCTGCACATGAAGCATTCAGAGGAAACTCAGAAATTAGTCGGAAAATAAACCTCCAAGAAAAGGATCAAAGTTAATTTTAAAAATACTAAATAAAACATGTTAGTGATGATGATGCTATGGGGATATGACAGAACTCTTCAGTTAAAAATGCAAGTCCTCATTATTAATTCCCCATTCTATTCAACTCGAACTCACCAAAATAAA